ACAGGGGATAAATATTTTTTTACTCCGAGGATAATCTTGATCCACCTTGAGGCAGCCGACAACAAATCCGGTGGTTGCAGTCCTTGGGCAGTGGGGAATCACGGGAGTGTGCAACTCACGCGGGAACGCATGACAGCGACAATCTTGGCACGTGGAAGCTGTTACCGATTAGAGTAAAACCCTAGTGCTCATTTAACCTAGACCGTTAGATGGAAGACAGATCTACGATCCAGGGAAAGTGGCGGCTGAGCAATAAGATGGAGGCTAGGGTTTCTTCAAACCCTGGCAACTTGGGCTAGCGTTGGGCTTGATGGGTTGGTACGCTTAGTGCTTTGTAATTGGTCCCCAAATTGGGCTTGTAATTTATAATCTAAAAATAATAATAATAAAATAATAATATTAATAAATAGTAAATTACAATATAATAATATAATAATAGATTATAACCCAGACAAGAACGGATGTCCATAGCTACCCCTCTTTGTATATTCTTGTGTCAATAAGAATAGGGCAAAGATGAAGAGACAATGAGTTCTTGTCCAGTCGAGTCTATGCTCTGGAGTCTCATGAGAGATCGACTCCACTATTTCTCCAGGGTAGGTCAGATCACAAAAAAAGAATTTGATTCACTTCGCTGCTCCTCAAGGAAGATTAAATCGAACTTGATTTGTTTCACTGCTCTTTAGGAAGACCAAATCTAAAAGAATGAGGATATGATCTACTACTCTTTAAGGGAGATCAGACTCGAAAACTTTGATCCACTTCGTTGTTCTTCAGGGAAGATTGAATAGAACTTGATTTTCTTCGCTACTCTTCAGGAATACCAAATCTGAATAAAGAATAATATGCTCCACTACTCTTTAGGGGAGATTAGACTAGAGAAAGTTTTAATCCACTTCACTGCTCTTCAGGGAAGATTGAATTGAACTTGATTTGCTTGGCTGCTCTTCAGGAAGACCAAATCTGAAAGAAGAAGAATATGCTCCACTATTCTTTAGGGGAGATCAGACTCGAGAAAATTTTGATCCATTTCACTGCTCTTCAAGGAAGATTGAATTGAACTTGATTTGCTTCGCTGCTCTTTAGGAAGACCAAATATGAAAGAAGAAGAATCTGCTCCACTACTCTTTAGGGGAGATTAGACTTGAGAAAATTTTGATCCACTTCACTGTTCTTCAGGGAAGATTGAATCGAACTTGATTTGCTTTGCTCCTCTTCAGGAAGACCAAATCTGAAAGAAGAAGAATATGAGAGAATATTTGAAAATCATGTATTTATGCCTAAAATGTCGTGATCCTATTTATGCCTAAAATGTGTGCAATGATGCAATTTTTGTGTATTTTCTTTTTCGAATGAGAACCCCCTCTCGTTGGTCGTCTTGTGACTCGATTTCATCTTGGGAATAGAAAACACGACCCGTTCACCCCATCTAGTGATCTTGATCCCATATTCTTTGGTCAGACATAATCTTGGTTTTCTTTCTTCTTGAAACCCGCCAATACCCTTGACCAACTGCTCGATTAGTAACAAATATTTTGGTCATCATCAAATGGCTTGGATTTTTAAGGTATTCCAAGGTTTTAGTTTCCTGTATCACGTCATCACGCAAGTTTACAGGTTAAGACTGTTATTAGCTTCATAACACATGAACTTTTCCAAAACTTTTTGCACAATAATACACAATGATCTCATGTACTTCAAGTTAAACTACATGTTTGTAATTTTCAAAGTAAGATGCTTGCAAAAAGTGTAATACCCCAAATATCGGGTTAGTGACTGTATTGAAAAGATTTAAAAATTTGAGGATTAAATAGAATAAATGGTAAAGTGTAAGAAAATGATTTAGAAATTTGGTTTAAGACCAATTAGTAAGAATGAAAGAATGAAAAGGGCATTTTGATCCTTTAGAGGAAAATGAAATTTAAATTTAGTTTAATAAGGGTATTAAAGATAAGGAAAAATGGGATAGTGAAAATACCCTAATCTACTTCCCTTCTTCTTCCCAAGGAAAAGCTCTCCTCCATAGCCAAATGTGAGATTTTAAATGGCTAGTTTATTCTTTCGTTTTTGGTTGGTTATTGAAGCTTTGAGTATGATAGAAGCCTAAGGAATGATTAAATGGGATTAAAACTAAGTTATGAATGAGATAATAGAGATTGAAGAAAATGGGTTTTTGAGTGATATGTTGAAATATGAGGGTTTATGAATGTTTTATGGTAAATTTCACTTGTCATAGAGGTAAATGAGAGATTAGAAGCATTGGATACGATTAAAAACACATTAGGAAAAGTGGTGTGATTCTTAGAATTTAATGTTCTTGGAAGATGTTAGATGTTTTAAGAAATTAAATGAAAGAAAGTTAGTATGGATAGTTAAAGAAAAGTTTTATAGTATGTGTAATGTGTTAATATAACGAAATTGACCCCATTTGGGTGAAAATCGAGTTAAAAACTAGAAAATCTTGGCAAGGGTATCGATATTGATAGAAGAGTACCGATATTATGGCTAAAATGGGATGAATTAGCTGAGTAGTATCGATACTGATTCAATCAGTATCGATACCAAGCACATCGAATCAAAATTTGGTATCGATACCGAAAGAGGGTATCGGTACCATAGTATAGAAGTATCAATACCAGGGTAGCAATATCGATACTATGGAGCCAGAAATGTTAAAAATAGGTTGATATTGGTATAAACAGTTAATGATATGTTCTTTGGAGTCTTGTTTAAGTATAATGGTTAGGAAATATTCTAACATTGGGTATGGTACATGTTTTAATGGATGCTTGTATAGATCGGAACCAAGCTCCTGAAACAAGCAAAACTAAGGGCAAAAGCAAAGTACCGAAGTAATCCGCCTTACATTTGGATACATAACGAGGAAAGTCAGGTTAGTGCATTTAATTATGTACGTATATGCTATAATAGTCATAGTGATATGAATTATTGATGTATGTATGGTGATTACCAAATGGCACTAAGTGTGCTAAAATGTTAAGAAATTCATACTAAGTGTATGAATTTCCGCATAAGGCACTTCGTGTGCTAAAATGTTAAGAAATTCATACTAAGTGTATGAATTTTTTTATAGGGCACTTCGTGTGCTAAAATGTTAAGAAATTCATACTAAGTGTATGCATTTCCATATTGGGAACTTTGTGTGCTAAAATGTTAAGAAATTCATACTAAGTGTATGAATTTCCGTATAGGGCACTTCGTGTGTGAATTTCCGTATAGGGCACTTAGTCTACTAAAATGTTAAAAATTTATACTAAGTGTATGAATTTCCGTATAGGGCACTTCGTGTGCTAAAGTGTTAAGATATTCATACTAAGTGTATGAATTTCCGTATTGGGCACTTTGTGTGCTAAAATGTTAAGAAATTCATACTAAGTGTATGAATTTCCGTATTGGGCACTTTGTGTGCAAATCACGGAGTTCATCATATGTTGATGAACAACCGTACAGGCATTGTGTGTGCAAATTTGCTGAATTCATCATAAGTTGATGAATAACCGTACAAGCACTATGTGTGCATAACACGGAATTCATAATATGTTTAGGAATGACCGTATGGGTACTAGGTGTACAAACTAAGAGATTCATACTAACTGTAGGAATTTCCTTATGGGAAATATATGTACAGATATAAGAAGTTCATAATAAGTAGGTGAATTTCCGTATTGGTAGTGGGTATGCAACTCACGTAAATTATAGTAAGGGTTAAGAAATGATGATATTAGCACTACCAATATAAACTATAGAGTTATAATGAGTTGAGAGAGAGTTCATTGATATTATAAACAATTATTAAAGTAGAAATTATTATAAAGTAAAAGATTAAAGGTCTAACTGTGCTTTTGACAGAAATGTGTCAATTATGCCAGTTAGATGAAAGGTTAAATATCTTTAGGTAAAATACTAGATGTATAACAATGTATAAAAGGCATGAAAGGATGCCATAAATGAAATGAATAATAATCACTACAGCAAAAGTGTTCTGTAGCGACGTTTTTAGTGGCGTTTGGAGAGTAAACCCCACAAAATATTTACATATAGCGGCGTTTATAATCCAAATGCCACAAAAAGACACTTTAGCGGCGTTTTTCCAACAAACGCCATAATAGAGTAGAAATTTAGCGGCGTTTATAGTATAAACACCAGAATAGGGTTGTTTATAATGGCATTTTCCAAACAAACACCGTAATAGAGTAGTAATTTAGTGGCGCTTATAGCATAAATACTGGAATAGGGTTGTTTATAATGGCATTTTTCCAATAAATATCGTAATAGGGCTGTTTATAGTGGTATTTTTCCAACAAACGTCGTAATAGAGTAGTAATTTAGTGGTGTTTTTAGGAAAAATGACGCAATAGGGATGTTTATAGTGGTATTTTTAGATAAATGCCATAATAGGGTTCATCAATAGTGGCATTTATTATAAAAACGCCGCAAAAACATGTACTATAGTGGCGGGTTTTTTTTAAAACACCGCCAAAGGTTAAATATATGCTTCACCCTTTTCTCCTGTCTAATCCCTAAAATCATTTGAACTCTACTTCCCTAAAAGGGATTTGTTTGGTACAACAATGACCCTCACACGATTCCAAGCGACGTCGTCTTCTGTCTGTCTCGGTGACCAAATCAGTCCTCTCAGCGGCGAACTATAACACAATTGCATGGTTTGATCCCTTCTCTCACAACTAAACTTTTTCATTTTTTGTTGGTTTAGGGTTTATTGGGAAAACCCATAAAGCTAACGTATTTGAGAAAAATTATAGCTTTAAATGGGGGTTAGATGTGCATGTAAAAGGATGAGTTTTAAATGGGGTTAGAAAACCCAGAAAGCTAACGTATTCTGAAAATAAGGGTTAGATATGCATGTAAGAGGATGAGTTTTAAATGGGAATTTTGTTTTGAGGGAATGTTTCTTTTCTGAGCAGGAGTAAACAGTAGAACTAGTTTACAAAAATATAGTGTCAGAAATTATCTTCGGAATGTCCACGTGGCGTATTTGCTCTGACGATGGATCAAATTATCGTTGGGAGGCTGTCGGTTCGTTCTTACCGTTGAAACTCGATAATAACCCGAAAGGAACTCCTATTTCTCCATACCCTTCCATGGCTGATCTCATACATAAAGGTAATAATCTCTGAATCTTTTCGTCGCTATATTTTTATTTTGTACTCTCAAATTTCATAGATCGTACACATGTAGGATGTTCGAAGCTTATTGAGAACGATGATAGAGGAGTGGATAAATACTCGATGTTTAGAACCGAAATGGGGAAATATGTGGCATTGAAAGAATCTTCAATTGCAAAAAGCATTATCTATCCTCGATGAAGACGACGTTGCCTAAACTGTTACTCCAAGTAAATGTTTCTCTCTTTTATTATAATTTTTTATAATTTTTGATTCAGTTCCTAAGCCACCTCCAATCAAGTTTCATATTGTAGGTGGAAGGTCGTTATCTGTTTCAGGTGAAGCACTAAACCCGCAAGGAGTCTTTTTGGTGAACCAGAGGTAGGGGATTTATTTGGTGAGATGGATGAAGAGTTTCTCGATATACAGTTTACACGGAGGAAAAAGTTAACGATGCTTCGTAAAACAAGGAAAACAACTTTTTACTTCCTTTCCCCACGAAGGAGCAATGAAGACTAAATTGTACTAAACAATATTTTTGTACTTGACAGCGAAAGAACCTAGACTAAATTCTAGCGAACAATGTCAAACTACATTACATTTAATTTTAATGTATGGTTGTTGCTAATTAGATCAAGCTACATGATAGTAAATTTGGTTTATGTAGAGTAGAAATGAAATATGCAAAAAAATTTGCTCTTATCTAAAGAAAGGTAATTATCGGCGTTTGTATCAAAAACGCCGCTATTGATATACCTTTTTGCGGTATTTTCAAACAAATGCCGATATCGAATAGTAATTTAGCGGCATTTGTATACAAACGCCGCAATATATGTAATATATATAGTGGCATTTTTAAACAAACGCCGTAACATAGATGTACGTTAATGGCATTTTTAACAAAACGCCGCTAAAGAGTCATACGTTAGTGGCGTTTTTAAACATAAACGCCGTGATAGAGTTGAACTATAGCGGCAAAACGCCGCGATAAAGTTACACTATAGAGGTGTTTTCAAACAAACGACGCTGTAGAGTTGCACATTAGTGGCATTTTTTAAGTAAACGACGCGATAGAGTTGCACTATAGAGGCGTTTTTCTACAAACGTCGCTATAGAATTGGACAGTAGCGCCGCGATATATTAGCACTATAGAGGCATTTTTTTACAAACGCAAAAAACTTAGATCAAAACCCCAAATTTGGTGCTCCCGCTTCATTTTGCTTCTCAACGGCGAACCCTATCACCCCCAAATCTCTGATATACAATTAAGCAGTTTTCTCCCATTATCTGACAGTAGTCGAAACCCACCCATCGACCGCCTTCGCCATCTTTTCCAGTGAGCCCGTTTCATTATCGCCGTTAGTCACACATTCTTCTTCGGTGAAGGTTCGTCTCCAATACTTTATCGCCGTCTGTTACTAAAATGGTTTTATTTTTCTCAGACATGATAGCCCTCTATAGGTAACAAAATGCATGCTGTATTAAATACTGAACTTTCTATTTTTTCTTTTGAAGCTCAAGGAACAGCGAGGAAGCCTTATCGTTTTAAACCAGGAAGTAGGGCTCTTCAAGAGATTCGGAAATACCAGGAAGACTACGAATCGACTCATCCCTGCTGCCAGCTTCATTAGAGAAGTAAGCACTTTCTCTAAACTAGCTTTTGTCTTGACTGCATTATTAGTTGAATGCAATTCAGTATAGTTACTGCCTTGTTACAACTAGTAATTAACGCTTGAGATTGAAGTAAGATTTATTAATTCTCAGAACAAGTTATAGTTGAATTTGAAGAAAGGCATCATATTAAATTTCTATCTTTGACTTTGAAATTTCACAAATAGCAGACATTAATATTGCACTTGTGACATATACAAAGGGAAAAAAATGTCTCGACAGTACATTATGCTTTACCTTTCTTACGAGGCTAATCAGGAAGCAATGATGTTCAATATGATTTTTTGCAGGTAAGAGCTATTAGCTACCGATTTGCGCCAGACATAGGTCGTTGGCAAGCTGAAGCTTTAGTTGCAATTCAAAAGGTTTGGTAACTTATCCTACCTTTTATAAAGGAAATGATAAGCCTTCAAATATAAATAGACATGTAGACTCGCACATAATGCACACACAAATGTGCAAGATATTTTTTTTGCATCTGATTCCAGATGTGATGGGTCTGTTATATATCATGCTCCCCAGTCTCCATATTGTCATGCTGCCAAAGGTTGTATTGCCAACATTAACTAAGACATTTATATATCCAAAAAGTAGAGTTGAATTTGAGTACAGTACGAGTATCGTAAAATTTATAATAGGAATGGCTAACTGTGAAAAATTACAATTTCCATTTATACATTATGTAATCTGTGATAAAATAAAACATTATTGTTTGGTATTTTGAATTATTTTTCAATTCTTTATCTGTAAATTTGTGATTGATTTTGGACTTTGTTTATCGTCTTTTTGTTAAAATGAATAAGGGGAAACCCTACTTTCCAGTTATGATCTGTTGCATACTTCTAGAAAGGAAAATTAGTATTAGCATCATGCCTTTAAAATTGTTTTTGTGTATAAACTGGAGATTGATTTAGTTCTTGTAGGTAGAGGTGGCAGAATGGACTGAACTTGAACCCATCTGAAAACACTTATTCTTTCCTTACCTCCCCAAACTCAAGTTGACCCTAAAATCAAAGACCCGACTCCAAACATCTGAGCAAGAAAATATCCAAAAGGGGAAAAAACCCAGCCTGAATGAATAAGGCATACGGAAACGGTTGAATTTTTCCATAACATCAAAAATTGACCAGGGTAGCACTAGTGTGAAAGAAGCCAAACCTGAACATGTCCATTAGCCATCTCCACTTATAGTTTTCTTTTCACCAAATATTATCCTGTTTACCTTTAAAAATTGTCCTGTTTCTTTCTAGTATATTTGTTTTAGTTATCTTTGGCCTAACATATACATGGAATCTGCTTGTCACCTACCCCCTTTGTAGAATCTCCCATGGATGTAGAAAGATATGGCTTTAAAAAATGTAACTTTGGTTCCACCGAAAGGAAAATAACTGAACACTTTCAACGATCCAAAAAGCTTAATGCTACTCGTCCCCCAATCCCATGTCCTCAACTTCTATCAACTCTATAGTTGTGTCATCATTCTAAGCTTCTTCCGAGTTAAACTTGCTTTACTTTGCTTTGTGTATTTTCCTCAGCTTCTCCATAAGTGATTAGTCCCAATGAGATTACTTATATTATTCCCATTATTGCTACATAAACAATTGATCAGGGAGTATTCATTTTTAGATGGTAATTCGAGAATACATAAACAATGAGATTACTCATCTACCCATAACTGCATGAAACCAACCAGTAACAACGCACAACTAAATCATAGTTACTAATTACAAACAGTATAGCTACACATTATTTCTACATTGATCAAATTGTATCCAGGATTGGGAAAGTTTGTTTTTATCATCTAGCTTGTTCGGGTAATGGTATGGCGATTAGTTTTTGTATGGTTCATTTTTTTAGTGTTGTTAGTTTTTTATTGTGTGTTACACGAGCAGTTTGGCGTTTCTGTCTGTTTCGTAATTCTGGTCTGTTGCTTTGATTCTTATTTTCTCCCTGATTGAGTGTACTCTCTTCTTAAGCTTAGGGAGGTTTTAAAGGAGGCAGTCTCTTCAGGTGTAGGCGCCTATGATTCTAATAATAAAATTATATTTACCGAGTAAGAAAAAGAAACTTTTAATTTGCATTGCTATTGGTGTAAATAATTTATTCTTTCTAAGGTAATCTTAAATAAGATTTCTTAGATTTCTAAGGTTATCTCTTCAGATATTGGAAGTGTCAAAATATTAATGAGGAAGTGTCTAATAATAAAATTTGAATCTAAACATTTATAGTCTTGTCATTCTACTTATCAGGTTCTTTTGCCTCTATAGCTTGGTTCGAGTCCTTCGGTTTTCTGTGGAACTCGTTTGTGAGGAAACAAACATAATGTTGTTTCCGTTTTACTTTTGGGTTTTTGATTTTCTTTATTTCTTGAACCTTTCTTACATGGAACAAAGGTCATGAACTTGGTCACAAACAAATTGTGAAACATGAGTTTGTTTAGATCTAAATGCTTCACTTCGATGAAACATCTGTGAAAGTGATTAGTTCTATACTATGCAGTTGTATATATGCACCCTTATAATTTTTATAAAATAACAGAGATACACTTGTTCCTATAAAATTTTATCAATTTAAAGTTTTATAATTTAGGAGTGATTAGTTCTATACTATGCAAATATTATTATGCACTAAATCTGATAGTTTAATGCTTATGTTTAGGTTCTAACTTTCTCTATAATATTAGCATTTAACATTTGAAATTGAAACTTCAGAAATACGAAATGTATAAGATTTGGATGGATTTCTCAAGGGTAAGCGTCGAATATCGAAATGGAGTCGAAAACTTTCTAAATTTAGCTTTTGTGAATGCAAGCCAAGAGAATATGATTCTTTGCCCTTGTAAGAAGTGTGTTAACATTAATTGGCACATTCATGAAGTTGTATACGAGGATCTAGTTGTTTTTGGATTTGTTCAGGGGTATAGAAAATGGATATTTCATGGAGAGTTTATATCAGATAGATCTGCTTCCACGAGTTATTCGACTTATCCTGCTCCTTCTCACCATCCAACTGTTAGAGAAGATAACATGGAAGGGATGTTACGAGATGCATTTAATATGCACAATCATCAGCAGTATGTTACAGAAAATTATTGATACAATGATGTTAATGATTTCATTGAGATGGGAAGAATTGGATGTGATGAAGAGCCAAATGGAGAAGCGGTAAAGTTTTACAAGTTGTTGAATGAAATGAATGAACACCTTTATGAGGAATCAAAGTTTTCAAAGCTTTCTTTCTGCATTCGTCTTTTCCACTTAAAATGCCTGGGAGGGTGGACTGGTAACTCTTTTACGCAATTGTTGGAGTTACTAGGAGAAGTGTATCCTTTTGGAAAAAAATCCCTCAATCATGCAAAGATGTGAAGAAAATGATAAAAGATTTAGGTCTTGGATATGACAAAATTCATAGTTGTCCAAATGATTGTATGTTATATTGGGGTGATCAAGAAAATCAGGAGTCTTGTCATGTATGCGGAAAATCTCGATGGATGACTAGGGACACAGAAAATGTTACTGAGGATGAAGCTCAAGCACGATCAAAAAAGAAACCGATAAAGATTATGCGATATTTTCCTCTCATTCCTAGGCTACAAAGATTGTTTATGTGCTCCAAGACTGCTGAGTCTATGAGGCGGCATCATGATGGTAGAACCGATGATGGATTATTACGGCATCCTGTGGATTCTTTAGCTTGGAAGTCATTTGAAACAAGTATCCAAGTTTTGCGAGAGATCCTCGAAATGTCAGGCTCGGTCTTGCAACTGATGGGTTTAATCCATTCAAAATCATGAGTACTTCCTATAATACTTGGCTTGTTATACTTGTTCCATACAATTTGCCTCAATGGATTTGCATGAAACAATTATCTTTCATCTTATCCATGATAATCCCTGGCGAGAAAGGCCCCGGAAATGATATTGATATTTACATGAAGCCGCTAATTGCAGAGTTGAAAAAGTTATGGGAAGGGGTCGAAACATATGATGTGTTTAAGAATGAGAACTTTAATTTAGACGTGACTTTATTATGGACAATTAATGATTTTCATGCGTATGCAAATTTATCTGGTTAGAGTACCAATGGTCGTTATGCTTGTCCTTGTTGTGCTGCACAAACATGTTTGAAGTGGTTGTTTAATGGGAAGAAGTTCTCTTATATGGGACATCGTCGGTGGTTACCTGATAATCATAGATTTAGATGTCAAAAGAATATGTTTGATGGTGATGAAGAGTTTCAAAATTCTCCTGACCAAACAACCGGGTCTGATAAATTCTCCATGTTGAAAAATATAAATTTTACTTATGGAAAGATGAATCAACCAACTAATACATGATAAAAGAAAAAGGAAAAGCATGTCAATAAAGAGCTTGAAGTTGATCAACAGAGTGATGATGAGTCTGATGAAGAGGATGATCCAAATGAGGTAGACTTATGGAAAAAGAAGAGTATATTCTTCGAGTTGCCTTATTGGAAGAATCAAATTTTGAGACATAATCTTGATGTAATGCATATTGAGAATAATGCTTGTGAGAATATTATTGGGACAATTCTGAATGATGGCAGAAAATCTAAAGATAATCTCAATAGTCAACTTGACTTAGTTGACATGGTAATTCGGCATGATCTTCATCCACAATTACATCCTAATGGAAAATATTTCTTGTCGACTTCTACTTTTTCTCTTTTGAAGAAAGAAAAAAGTGTTTTGCACGGTGTTGAAGGATATAAAAGTCCCAGATGTGTATGCATCAAATATATCTCGATATGTCAGTGTTAAAGATCGAAGACTTTATTCTTTAAAGTCACATGATTATCACATATTAATACAAGATTTACTGCCAGTAGCTATACGTTGTTGCATGTCGAGTAAGGTGACATCTTGTATCATTGAACTTTCCAATATAATGAAAGCCATCTGTGGGAAAGTTCTGATGATTGAAGAACTTGATAAACTACAAGATCGAGCTGCCTTGACTTTATGCAACTTGGAGAAGATATTTTCGCCTTTATTCTTCACAATTATGGTGCATCTGCTAATTCATCTTCCTCGCAAAACAAGAGTTGGTGGACCAGTTTTCTATCGATGGATGTACCCTATAGAGAGGTGCTAATTGAAGTATACATTTCAAATGACTACTGATTATACTTTTTAATTAAATATATTTACATTGTACGTTGTTTTTTGTATAGGTTCTTGGGCAAGTTGAAGTCTTACTGTCGTAATAAGCGTTATCCGGAAGGATCAATTGCTGAAGGGTATTTGGCAGAGGAATGTATGAAATTTTGCTCTAGATATTTGGAAGATGTTGAAACAAGATAGAATAGACCAAATAGAAATGATGTGCTCGATACTAATGACTTACCTGAACATTATTTGTTTGGAAGTTATGGTCAACCACTAGGGAAAGTTGAAATTGCACAATTAGATGACATGTCTTGGGTACAAACACACCGATATGTTTTTTCCATATTGATTCAATAGATCCCTTTTGCACGTAAGTCTTTCGGACCCAATACTAATGAAATTTCTTAATCTTTTATATTTATCATTCTTTAACAACATAATATACTTTATAGTGAGTTTAAAGAAGTCTTGAGATCTCGTGCACGCACCCAAAGATTACATCAGTGAGAGATACATAAGTTATTCAAAGAAACTTTTCATGAATGGTTATGTCAGACGGTAAGCAACTAAATCATTCAACATACTTATAAATAATATATGTCTTGCTTTTTATATCAAAATCAACCCTTATATATGCAACATTCATGTGTAATAGGTTTGAAGTGGGAGAGAAGTCAGTGAAGATGTTAAATGGCTTTCTCAAGGTCCGAATAAAATATTTAAAAGATATAATGCCTTCCTCATTAATGGGTTTAGGTTCCACATGAAATCTCGTAAAAGATTAAGGAGGACACAAAATTGTGGAATCGTAGTTACTTCTTTAACTACCATTTAT